AGTGCTTCCTTGAACTTCCTGGTTTCTAGGTGATATTTCTTGATCAGGTATTCTTTGGTCTTTTTGTTCTTCAGCTTCTTTTCTTTCATCTGTTCTAGCTTGCTTGCATCTGATCATACCACGCTAATCTTATTTTCCAATCCAATCTTCCATTTTGGTGGTGCACTGTTTGGCTTTTTCTCTGGTTTGTTGATTTTGCATCCAAGGTATTCAGTTATAACTGCAGCCATGCTGTACATCAATTGGTTTGTTTCTTGCAGTGAGCTAGTGCTCATATTTGATATTACAGCATTGGCATCATTTAATACTTGTGCTAGCTTTTTCTTTGTAATAAGCTTCAATGCAGGCAACCTTATTCTGTTGTTTTTGTGCTGTTCTAGATGCTTATTAATTCCTCTTGTTTTTTAGTTAGAGGGCTTTGTTCTTGCTGAGGAGAAGGCTCTACTGTCTGAGGTACTTTTGGCAAGACTTCGATTTTTTTGCCCTGGGTAGACCTTTGCAGTTCTTCCAATTCTACTTCTGTGAATACTTTATTTCATGTTAGATAAATTGTCCATCAAATCAAAAAATATCTTAGGTAATTTACCCTGATTCTTTTTAACTTCCTTCTCTGATGTTCTACCCAATTGTGGGAATACCACTCCATTTCAATCTCCCATCAAGCACCAATTTTCATAAGAAAAATTTATCCGTTCTTCCATGAGACATTTATAAAAATTTCCTTTATCTTCATTTGGAGCATAAAGTCCCAAAATTAAAGTTTTGACACACTGTAATTCCACTTCTACTCCAATAAATCTACCATGTTCATCAACCAATACTAATTTTGGTTTTAATTGTGGGTTAACATATAACACAGCTCCATTAACTTTTTTTGGACCTGCCAAAATAGATTCTTCTCCCCAAATTCTTGCAAATCAAATATTTTATGTCCTTTTTTCTAATATGAGACTCTTATAGACAAATTACATCTTGTTTAATTTTTTTTAAATGATGGAACACTTCTCTTCTCTTCTGTGGAGCATTTGCTCCATTCGCATTCCACGTTAGCCATTTATAATCCATAATTAAGCCAGTAATTTAGAAACGTCTATACCTGTGGCACCCAGCTCAGAGTCCTCTTTTTCATCTTCCTCCTGGTGTGTTTGGCTTTTGAAATTGTCTTCTCATCCTCCTCCATTTGAATCTCCACCCAATCTCCTTTGAATTTTTCCAGAAATCCTTTGGCTTTATGAACAGAATTCAGTCAAAATCTTTTCTGTTGGAAAGTAAAAATCAGTCCCTCCAGTTTATCCCAACGGGACCAAATCTTACTCTCTTTCAGTATCTCCGTAAAAAAAAGTAATCCTTTCTCTTATGTAAAATTCTGGTGGGAATTTCTTTTAATATAAATATATCCACATTGTCAGTCTTTGAATCTTGTATTAAAATGCAAAACCATTTGTATTAAAATGCAAAGCCGTTGCAAAACTTGATCTCTGGTCCTTTTCTTTGCAAAATGTACTAGCACATCCCTTGAAACATGTCTTATTGCTGCAAAAGGTGAATTTACCCAGTACACCTTATCAATTTCATCTTCAGTACTTTCCTCCTCCCAGTTTAAGAATTCTGCCAACCTTCTTCTAATATCTTCGCCCAGATTTTCCAGAATAGCTCTGAATCTCAAACAATATTCCTATTCTCTTAATTCCAACAAAGCCATCTTATCCAAAGCTTTCTCCAACTCAAGATCTCTGGTTTCTGCTGTGGTCTCCAATTTCATTCTTTCAGTAACCTGCTTCATTTCACCAGACATTTCTTTCTTATCTCCATCCATTTGTTTCAATAACTATCCATCTTATCTAATCTTTCTTCCATTTTTTCCCCCAAAGCCATAAATTCAACTGCAAGGGACTGAGCCAGTTTAGCCCTAGTTCATCAAAGATTGGTTTAAGTAAGCTTAAAGGGACCATTTTCTCTTCTAACGTTTGCTCTGAGGAACCGCGTCTCATTTCCTCGGCTGCCTTTCTTGTAGGCGGCAAGAAAAAGCAGGCAACAGGATATATTATATATAAGTGAAAGTAACCAAACAATTCACACCCTCTGGTGTCTTTCAAGCTGCCATTGCAGGCGCACGCTAACAGAAGATACACATGAGGCTCAAGTTACAATCTTCTGTTTTAAAAATCCAGTCTGTTGACAAGCATAGCACAGGAAAACAAACAACTGTCCCATAGAAAAATCAAGTCTAGTTACTATGGATGGAGCTTTGTGAAAAATTAAACTTCTACCAAATAAATCTTTTCCTTTCACCATAAATAATGTTTAACTCATTTTTACCTTCTCCTTATCATCCAGCGTTTTGCGAATTCTTCAAATTACATTAAAGCTCTAATTCTTTTACGCTACCGTCCCAAAAATAATAAAAACACCAACACCTTATGTGTTGTGAAGGAAGGTCTCTCTTACGTTGAAAAATAGTTACAATCCAAAGTGATTTAGACATGAGGTCTGGATGGTTCTAGTGTCTGTATTAAGGCTGCACCACAGCTGTGAACAAAGTTAGATCCCTCACCTCCCGGCCGCTCGACTCACAAGCTGTTCACAGAAGCTTCCATCCCTGCGATTTGCTTTCAAGGAACAGCCGTCCAGAGACCAAGTGGGTTGATTTCTTGCTTCCTCCTTAATCTGGAGGAAGTTGGACGGCCAGCGCTTGCTGCCAGTCATCAATCCTGCAGCAATGCTGTCTCCACTATTTTGAAGACGTCTAAGTCGCCGTTATTCCCCAGCGGAAGTCGACCTTCAACTTTCCTCTTGATCAAGAAACACTCCCCAGGGGTGTCAATGAAACTTCGGGCCTTTCTCCTGGGGTCCTTCACCCTCTCCTGCCCAAACCATAATTTTGCAACACTCTCTAGCAACACTGCCATTTTGCACTTGTGAAAACGCCTTGCTTGATTTTATTATGAGAGTGTTTAATTTTTCAAACATTCAAGGCACAATTTTTTGATTGCGCCATTTAAAAAGGAGCCTTCCCCCTTGATATTTGGGATCTAAGAAAGAAAACACTTACCCGGAGCTCCTCTGCCAGAAGTTCCTAAGTGGAAAATTGAAGCATCTGAGAAACAATTTGGATGTAAATTTCATGGAAATGCATTTGTTTTCCTTCTCTATTTTCCATGCTGTATGGAATTAATTGCATTGGATTTTTTAAACCTATTTGTTTGATAAGAAAAGATTGTCAAGTGGGGGGGGGGTTGGAAGGGGAGAGATATCCCTAAAAGAAGCATCAGATCTTCTAACTAGGTTTTTGCCCTCACATGTACAGTAATTCTTTACAGAAAACCTCAAAAAGAAAAGAAACTCAGGAAATATATTTTCTCTTCAGATCAAGGTTGGGGATTGCCTGAAGGCTCAGAAGGAGGAGAAAGAAAAAATGGTTACATACAAAACAAAACGAGAAAAACAAGCGCAGGAGATGCTTGTAAGTATTGATCCAGCAGTGATGAGCTTCTGAGCTAACGGGCCGTGGTCTGCTTGTAAGTAATGCTTTTCCTAAGAAGTGAACCCATCCTGAATCTGTTTCAGAAGATGAAAGAAAGTTTATTTCAGTGGGATCTCCCATGGATTATTTATCAGAATTGGCTGAATGAGTCACAGTTTGGTTAAGTGCACATATCACTTAAGCCATGGTTTATAAAACAGTGGTCCAGTTTGCATGATAAATTAATGCAAACCATATTTCATCTGACAGAAAAAGTGTGAACCCAAACTTTCTTTCCATCTACTTTTTGGAATAACCTGATCTCCCACAGAAAATGTTTGCAAAGGATCACTTCACAATGGAGCCTTTTTTTCCTGGTTTTTAGAAACCTTTCCCCCTGCTCTTGTTGATGTCAAAATGGTTGAAAAGTGAAAAGGTTTGTTTTTCCCCAGGAAATTCTCCCATCTCAATTCTAGACTCTTCAGTGAATCTGTTAATTATCATAATAGTTATGACCTTTGCCTTTTCTATCTTCTTGTTCTAGGATAAAATCCAAAAAGGAGAAGAAAACATAGTGGCTGAGTTCGAAAAACTACAACGCTGGTTAGAAAAACAGGAGAATCTTCTCCTGGACAGAATGAAACAGATGGAGGAGGAGATTGTGGCACAAAGGGGCGAGTGTCTGGCCAAACACATGGAGGAACTTTCCTCTCTTGAGGATCTCATCCAGGAGATGGAGGAGAAGCAGCAGCAGCCAGCAAACAAATTCTTACAGGTAAGGCATGAAGCTGAGATGATGGAGTGGAGTGGACTGCTCTAGACCCACCACAGGAATGCTCTTTTGAGTTTTTCCATGGGAAGGAAATTGGAAAATATGAAGACTAATGGCTAATATGCCAGGAGACATACTTCAGAAAAACCAGGACATGCAGAAGCAATGGAATTCAAAGTAGTGGTCACTATCTCTAGGTCTTTAATGGTCTTAAGAACGTCTGCTTAGGCTAATTTTTCTAAGACAAGAAAGTAAAAATA